ATCCACTGGAAGGAATCCCAATATCTGCAGACGGATCCATATCGGCCTTCCAGGCCTCATCAGTGCAGCTAGGGTGTAGACCCAAACGAAATGTTCGACCAGCTTAGGTAGGGCCCAAACTAGTTCCACGACCACTAATGATTACAGAGCCAAACCAAGGCAATATATATACACAGCCCAGGTGTGAATGCAAATAGTGAAATACAAGCTGTGGCTCGGTTCCAGTAGATACAGAGAATATAGTAGTCAGTGAATTTGTGAACAAGATCGGAGATCTAAAGATGTAATCTCTACCGTGCATCAATGGCGGCCCGCTGGATCGCAATAGAGATTCTTTAATAATATATAAATTTTAAAAGGCAAATGGGAAAAACCCATAAAACAGCAAACGGCCACATAATGCAAAACTATTAAAATTGAAACGGAACAATAGAGAAAATCCGATCAGAATGACAAAATAAACTAAGCATCCACTGGAAGGAATCCCAATATCTGCAGACGGATCCGTTTCGGCCTTCCAGGCCTCATCAGTGCAGCTAGGGTGTAGACCCAAACGAAACATTCGACCAGCTTATGTAGGGCCCAAACTATTCCCACGACCACTAACAGAGCCAAACCAAGGCAATATATATACACAGCCCAGATGTGAATGCAAATAGTGGAATACAAGCTGTGGCTCGATTCCAGTAGATACAGAGAATATAGTAGTCAGTGAATTTGTGAACAAGATCGGAGATTTAAAGATGTAATCTCTACCGTGCATCAATGGCAGCCCGCTGGATCGCAATAGAGATTCTTTAATAATATATAAATTTTAAAAGGCAAATGGGAAAAACCCATAAAACAGCAAACGGCCACATAATGCAAAACTATTAAAATTGAAACGGAACAGTAGACAAAATCCGATCAGAATGACAAAATAAACTAAGCATCCACTGGAAGGAATCCCAATATCTGCAGACGGATCCGTTTCGGCCTTCCAGGCCTCATCAGTGCAGCTAGGGTACAGACCCAAACGAAACGTTCAACCAGCTTAGGTAGGGCCAAACTAGTCCCACGACCACTAATGATTACAGAGCCAAACCAAGGCCAATATACACAGCCCAGGTGTGAATGCAAATAGTGGAATACAAGCTATGTGCCTTGGTTCCAGTAGATACAGAGAATATTTTTTCACTCTTAACGCGTCCTACGACATTCTTACGAGACAGCACTAGTCCGTGAATTTGTGAACAAGATCCTTCCGGTGGATGCTTAGTTTATTTTTAGTAAACCCTTAGTTTATTTATACTATTTAAATAGTTTTGCATTATGTGGCCGTTTGCTGTTTTATGGGTTTTTCCCATTTGCCTTTCTAAATTTTATATATATATATATATATATATATATATATACATATATATATATATAAATTTAAAAAGGCAAAAGTATTCCTTCATGGCAGTAGTATGTGTATATTATGTAGGGGCCTATGTATTTATTAGATATTATATACAGTAATGTTGTCATGGCGAGATAGATTATCTTGACAAGTCGACATACTAAAAATGTTTTGTTGTCATGACAAGATAGGTTATCTTGACAAGTCGACATAATAAAAGTTGTATGTTGTCATGGTGAGATAAATTATCTTG